TATATATCATTTCAGTTATATAAAAGGCTTGACAAAAAATTATTATATAAGGATAATAATCAAGCGATGAATTATAGCACGCAAAAATAAGATATTACATTTATAATATAATTTTGGCAGAAACCATGGAGCTATTTTAATAATAATATTATTTTTTTTAAATTATTCTATATTTAAATATATAAAAAATAATTAATAATTTTATTATATTCCACAGGTGTTTCGAGCTTACTTTATTTTTGCTTTTATTTTAAATGATTATATTACTTTTTTCGTATGATATGTTTTTATGTTTACATTGTCGATAAACTGATTCAAGCGATTCTCATTCACTAGCTGGCAGCAGCTTCTATACGTAGCAGAAGTATACGTATATTTTTCGGCGAGTCTGTCTCGTGCTTCAATTGATGGCAGAGGATCATTAATAGGTTAAATTTACATCTCGCAGCTTCCACAGTAACTAATGAAGCATCATGTGGTGTCGGAGTATCCTCAGAACGCGTGCTATCTTCAAAAATTCTACTGTATCCACCTGTTTGCGATATTTAGCGAGTAACAGTCTCAACAGTGTCTCGTTGAGACATTCGTTGCCACGCTCGCTCGCTTCGGACGCACGTGAATGCACGATCGGCGACGTTATTGATCAATGGAGTCGTCGATTCGAGAACGAGGGCATACCGGAGCCGGTAGAGTCGATAGAGCACATAGTGGCGCACGTTATCGGCACCAAAAAGGTATTGCGATATCGCTATTCTGATATACTGATAATAATCTCACTGATAATTAACGATGTTGTTGACAATTAAATTTATATGCGTCGAACTTTTTCAAAACATTGCATAATTATTGGAGTAATTGTTTGCCGCCAGTTTTATAACTGTCATTTTTTATTCATTGACTACTTTAAATATATCAAAATAAAAAATATAGAGGATAGATTATGAGACAGTGCGCTTTATATTATATAAAAATAATGTTGAAGTTGTGTTCTGGTCTGGAAATGTATCATTAAGCTTGAAAACTAAAAAATCGCTCTATTTGCTAAAATTCTCTCTTATTATTTGCAGATAATAGATATCATAAATATCAGAAGTGACCGACTCAATGCGAGCCAGATTGAGAAATTAGAGTCTTTGTGCGAATGTCGGTTATCGAGGTAAGAGGCTCTTGAAGGAGTCCTTTATGATTTATCGAACTGGACTCTACTGCGCGAAATTCTTCGCGCGCTCTTACAAATGCCAAGTCCTTGCAGAATGCCAGTTCAATATATTATTGGTGAATGGGATTTCCGAGATATTACATTGAAACTTGTACCACCGATTTTTATCCCTCGTCCGGAGACTGAAATACTGGTTGACTTTGTGTTGAAAAGACTGAGCTCATCGCAAGCCGAGACTTGCGAAATTCTGGAAATTGGCTGTGGTTCAGGCGCTATATCACTGGCCCTTGCTCATGCTTGTAAAAAAGTATGTCAGTAATGTTATCGCTGCATTACAGATTAAACGGACTAGGTAAGAAATAATACTCAAATAAATTTTTTTAGATAAAATGCACAGCAATCGATGCGAGTCCGCATGCTTGCGACTTGACGATGATGAATCGGAGCGAATTAAACTTGATAGATCAAATCACAGTGATGCACGCGACCTTAAACTCAGACGCAAGTATTGAAGTTTTGAATAGCTTCAATAGTGCCAGTAATGTTGATTTAAATTCAAGATTGTTTGACTTTGTGGTCAGTAACCCGCCGTACGTTCCAACGAAGCAGATACCGAAGCTGCAGCCTGAGATAAAAATGTAATGTGCAAAGTGTTACCGCAAATCTCAATAGTTATATATATATAAGTAATTAATAATTTATTTACTTACGTAGTTACGAGGATCTCAGGGCGTTGGACGGCGGCGACGATGGACTGAAAGTGATCAAGCCGCTCTTAAAATACGCTGCCAAAGCATTGAAACCTGGCGGACATCTCTTCTTGGAAGTTGATCCCACTCATCCCGAATACATACAATTTTTCACAAAAAAGTATTCGGACTTGAAGCTCCATCACGAGCACACGTACAAGGACTTTTGCAATAACGATCGTTTTGTAGAGGTGGTGAAAGTCGCCTGAAGAAGCGGCTCTTGTTCTTTTTTGTTGTCACATTCTTGTTTTATAAAATAGGTTTAATAAATTTGTTACTTCAGGTTATATTATGTAAGTTTATTGTATATTTTTCACTTTGTTATAGAGAGAGAGAGATATATATATATTTCTACGTTGGACGGATCAGTCATGCGAGAATTTATCTTAATACCTTTCGTAAATTAGTCAGTCAAAATTTCTGTATGTGATCGTATGAAGTCTGTGAATGCATTCTACGTACTCAATAAGAGGTAATGATATATACAGCGACGATTATAATTAATACGTTGAATTCGGTGGCACAATTTCGATTTATGATGAGACAACTACGGCGCGATCTATTTTTGTTTTTTCTAATATATGCTTGTTTTCGTGATACATTTGTAAAATGTTTCATTATTTTTAAATCTTATAATAGAGATATAGAGAAGAACTTCGACCTTGAGTTATAAAATTTTGTGGAAAAGATTAAATCGGATATTTACACCGTTCTTTAATTTAAGATCGATATATCACTTCACGAGTGCACTAAACTAATATCGCATTCTATTGCACTTGTACGTTCTACTGGGGCGAGAACTTTTCAAGTTCCTTTTTGATCGACGCGATCAAGGGTACCGCAGGATCGTCCGGAGGAAGCCTGCTGTCCGCCAATATACGTCTAGTCTCCACTTCCGGTAAGTTCGGTCTGTGGAACGGACCTGCGCTGAGTGGTCTTGAGCCCCAGGCACCGCGAGGAGGAATTGGTCCACTCTGACCTGTCTCCGGAATGTCTTCATCTAAACCTTTACGTGGTAACGATGTACGCGGTCGACTCTTCATTTCCATCGTCGGCGTTGCTACTGGACTAGACGGTCATTTGCATCACTTAATTAATCTTTACTTAATAACGTATACTAATAAAATATATATGTGTCGCGAATGTTTTGTAAAATCTTGTTATACTTCAAACATTTATATTTTATGGTTCTAAAAGAAACAGAGAAATGTGCATATTTGTGTTAATTATTTGCAGTGACTTAACGATCGAATTTGGATGACTAATTACCTGTTAAAAGAAGAAGAAGAAGAAGAAGAAGGATATGTACCTGACGTGCGCGGATTTGCCTCTGGTCTCCGAAAGTACCGCGAGTGTATCCGCTGTGCGTGCAACGGCAGTCGGTGCCTGCGACGTTTGCGATGGTTGTGGCTCTTTGAACCTGACGTCTCTGCTTCCGAAGAGGCTGAATGAGTCCTCGAGGAGCTCGTGGAGTCTCCGCCGCGCGCGGCCGACGGGTCCTGATGGTAGATGGTACACTCCATCGACATCCGTTTCGGACGTACCGTTACCTTTAGACAAGTTGAGTCTTTCGAGAGATTGTGTGAAGAAATGGATTTCTTACATTCTGCAGTAGCTGATTGCGAACGAATAAATTGAAGCGATTTTACATAAATAAATTACAATTATTTATGCAAGATTATTATTTATTTGTTCGTAATCGATGCTGAAAAAAATTTGTGCGTCGCCGATAGAGCAATTTTAAATAATTGCCAGAAATATTAAATATAAAATTGACACAGTGACAAGTTTACCTTCTGTATAGAACATCTGCTTGTTAAGATTCCAAACTATAGGTCCTATAGCTCCAGGATCCTTCGAGGCACTTGACGTTCTTGCGAGGAATGTATCATCGATACTGTCAGCTCGATCATGGCGCACTAATTCTGGAGAATCGATGTCCAAGTGTCTGACCTAAAGAAAGCATCTTATCATCAGTACAATATAAAATTGCCGATTTATTAATTATTTTATTTATTTATTTTTTATTTATTAGTTATTCATTATTTTATTTGTTAGTTATTTAGAATAACTTGAAATATTTCGCAAATTACCATGACAGGTTCCAGCACTCTTGACAGCGGTTCCACGCTCCGCATGCTGGGAAATTGCTTGCACGATGGCATCGACAAGTAGGATCGCGGCGAAGCGGTGGATTCTTCCCGTTTCACGTAACCATTTTCCAAAGATTCCAGCATTTCTACACGATCGGCTACCGTGTCCAACGAGTCCGGTGTCCTGGGTTCGTCCATCGCATTCGTTCTCGTCATTCTCCCATACAATACTCTGTGTTTTCGTACAATAATTTTATTATTATAAAATTTTCAGCTATTATAATTTTGTCGTCGTATATATTCTATTCTTTATTTACTATAAATTAAAATTAATTTAACACATTATTCATTATTAGCTTTTTCCCTCTATTATGTGACTTAGCATGTTAATAATTATTCGTCTCTGATTTTAGAAAGCAATTGCCAACTTCTTGATTACCTGGTCTTTTTAGTTGGATGTTCTTGAATGCTCCAAGGGGTCGATCCGCGAGTCTTCTTCGGTTCGTCGTCGTTGTCACTGGAAACTTCATGAATTCCTAATTCCAGACTGTTGGGCGTGTCGGGTGTGATTGGAGTTCTGGATAAAGTTCGTGGAGTTTGTCGCTGACTGGTACCGTCGGTCTGCGAACAAGGGAGAGTCGCATAAGAAGCGAAGATACATAATCCGAAGCGTAACAATTTGTCCGACGGAGTGGGAGTAATATTTTGTTGGAATCGATATCGTCCTGACATCGAGAAACCGAATTGTGTTCCCTCGTAATTCCCGGCGTAGTTTGTTGATCGTTCGCGTGCCACTTTAATTGGCTTATTTCTCTACAGTATCTTGTAATCTTTAGCACGCAATGAAATTTAAAGGATAGTGAAGTATCCTTACATTCGACGGGACGCTCTTGTTTCACGATATACAACCCAAAAAATATAAGTTTGATCATTTAATTGCTCTGCGTATAACGGAAATATAATCCAATAATTAATACTGTTTCGTATAAGAACTGACAGACTTGATGCCAAGATAATTGAAATGACCTTAAAAGTTGAAAAGTGCAAATCATATTGCATACCTTAATTTCAGTTTCCGACGTTGAGAATGCAGCGTTATCGAGACCAGGCGTCGCGGTCGCGTATTCACGCTCCTTTTTAAGAATGCTTCTGTTCGGCGGTGCAGCGACAGCGCTATGTGCTCTTTTCCGTTTGGCGGTCAAAATCAATCCAATAAGAATCAGAATTAGTAGAACGACACCCGCGCTGGCTGCACCGATCAGCAGCCAGGCATCCCTCTTTCTCGACAACGCTAAAGGTCGGCTCTCCTTCAGATAAGCTACGAATGTAAGATAATTTTTTTCATGTATTTATTGATTTACATTTTAGAAAAATTTTTTTAACAAAATTATTTTTTACTCACGCTCGCTTTGAATGATCACCGGTGCGCCGAGTTCCAGGGCGACTTCCTGAGGCGAGAGAAGCGCCATGTCTCTCGCGGCCGTTTCAGCGGGAACGGGCTTGTCGTCGAGGTGAACCGAGTAAATCAATCTGGTCGCGCCGCCCTCGATCACGCTCGTATTTTGCATTCTGACCTTCACGACTCCCGCAATCGAGCCGTCCGCCAAACGCAACTTCGAGCTCACACTCGCACTCATACTTTCGTTGTTACTCGATCGATTACTGCCAATGTCTGTATTCAATTTCGAATTATCCGAATCCGAAGAAATTGGCATCAATTTCCGCGGTAATTGTTTGGTAGATTCGTCAATCGTATCGGAAGTGAAATGTACTGAATCGATTGTTGTGGACTCGTCTACTGAAGGCAAGGATTTTGTATCTTCTTTCAGCGTTTTTATGATCTTTTTCAAAGCGAAATCATCTTTCGCAGGTTTCTCGTGATTGTCTGTTGTGTCGGTGTCGAGTATCGGAAACAGCATCTTCTTCGACTTAGGAACTTCGATCATTTTCATAGCCTTGACTTGCGAGACGTTCAGAAAGTGCGATTTATCGTCGGTTAATTGTAAACTTGGAACGTTCGTTTCGGTTTCTGCGCGAGTCGAAGAACTCTCGATAGTACCGATGGTTAACTCGGTTGGTGCCATGGTTGCAGGTTTAGTTGCATTTACCGGAACTTTTTTTTGTGGAACTTTCGCTTGGGATGAAGTTCCAAAACGTTCTGGTACGTTCTATACGTATGAAGAATAATAAAAATATTGGAAAATTTAGTAACATTTTTTAAACATATATTTTACCTTTCGGTCAACAATGCCGTGTAAGAACGCGTCTCTTCGGGATCGCGGATCCATCGATAGCAGACCGAGGTGTCGTTGCTGTTGTCTGGAAAACGCGGTTCGATACAAGCGAGCCAAGCGAAGTTCGACTTTAGGCGGTACGGTTTCACCCGGTCGAAGAACCGTCAATAACCAATACCTGTAAATTTTTCTTTTTACACTATCTACGTCAATATTGCAATAACAAAGCAATATTTGCGCTAGATTAATTTTTTACAAACATATACTTATTATTTATTTATCCTGATATTTTTCGCCCGTTGACACTCTTGATTCTTTAATTTAAAAATATGAGATATGAGATATCTTTTTTTAAATTAATCGTTGCAATTACCTTGGACCTGGATCCTCCCCGACGAGCACCCCGATGCTCTGATCATCATTATCGTCCAATCTAGGCGTCGGTTCTATGCACGTGACGCAATCCGGACGATGAGGCGATAGAGGATCCAACGGACTCTTCTCGTCAGTCGGGGTGTAAACTGTGACAGTGTGAACGACCGTTTTTGTCTCGTAGAATGTCAAACCCTGATTGGCATCCACCCATGGCGGCGCGTCTTCTAAGCCGGTCCAAAAGAAATCTTGTAGATGCACCCGCCGTCCTGGCAGATGCTCGATCAGGATAATTTCGTCTTCTGTACACAAGCAAAAGTATATTTTATTGTTTTCGACTTGAAATGTGATAAAAATACAACATGCATTAATGAGAGGGAAATATGCAATATTAAAATTACAAAAGTATGCAATTTTATCAAATAATGTTGTAATATACATCTTTGTATGTTATAATTTACATTAGTGACGCAGTTTCGTATTCTGCTGCGAGACATCAACAGAAAGTATATCAAACGATTCTTATATACCTTCGTACAATATAATTTTAAATTAATGGCGCAATATCGCATTCTAAGACCGTGAGTCCTTAATGTCCTATAATGTGTATGATAACTAGCGAAAATCGTGAGCTCTAAAATTCAAGAGCTTCGTGTCCTGTCAATGGAAACTTGTGTGAAGGAAGGAAGAAGGGCAAGAAAACACGAGTGTGTGTATACGGAAGTTTTTCCAAGAGATACTACATCGATAAGGCCAACGACCGACCGTCAGGCGACTCATCGGCGACGTCACGACGTCGCTGAGGACGAGCTAATCATAATAAATTCTATAATAAAGACGGGGGACAACACAGAGGACTGAAAAAGAAATTTCTTATCACGCGATCACGTGAGCGAGACTCGTGAAAGTTAGAGAATCCATTCATGCGTGAACAAAGCTATTTCCATTCCGACTACTAAAAATATAATTACCGTTATTGCCCGTTATGTCATTTTAAGCATTCGCGCAATTAGAGGGTAATGTCCTCTTCAAGTCTCACGTTAACTGTTTTACATTGAATCCGAAATCCGAACTCCGAAATTTCTGAATAAAAATGTTAATTGTTTCAGCAAGCACAAAATTCAGAATAGAGAGCTAACATTGAATCGGACAATTTTACGACTGCTCATCGCTCGAACTATCGATCAATTATGACACGGCGCCGGACACGTCCGTAATCTATTCTTCGCGCGCATTTTTTTTCGCCTTGTTACGACGACCTGGTTTCACGGTTCGTTTGACTTTCCGGTACGTGGAAATATTGTTTGAAGTTCTGCGTGTTCAAAACCGCGCTTGCGGTTTCGCTACTTTGTTTCTGGCGAGGGAGTAACTTATCTCTGTCTTTAAATTTGTTTATCGGTAATTATTAAAAAACATTGTTATGTGCTCTGTATATTTTTTTATGTGTAGACATATATATATGAAATACACTGTGTAAACGCGTAGACACGTATTTTTTTCCATTGCTAAACTTTATTCAGTCATTCCGTATCTACGCAGAGTCACGCGGCATATCATAGGTATTTTTAGTACGCGATGGTAGTGTTAAATCGATAGAAAACGGAGTTCCTATGGTGAGAATGCGTTAAATTGATCGCTATTAACCCCCGTACACCGCGCTGCTCATTCCATTACATTGTTGGCATTTCCGTAGATTTATGAACATTGCGGCGACGTTTTTGAACGTACATCAAACAATAACTACACTTGATACAAGGAAAATCTATTTTTCTCTGCTACAATATAGCATTGATATATGCACAAAAATTTAATACTTCACAAAATACAAAAAAATTATAATAAAACTGATCAAGCGAAAACAATGTCGCCTTACTGCAATCGTAGTGCCATGTCTAGGTACATAAGCGTCTAACACATGATAATAATATCGATTACCTGACGCACACCTGCATGAGAGCGCTGAATTACTTAAGCTGTCTCTCAGACTGGCGCCTAGTTGGCAATCTGCTGAATTTCGACTAACGCGAGCTTGGTAGCACATTGACAACAAGGTCACGGAAGAACGCACCATGTGCGGAAATGAAATTACGGAATGCGCAGCACACTGGTTGTATTTTCGCATGCCACGTGTATCGCGATGTGAAAGAACAGTTTCGAATCGATCGAGCACGTGGAAACACCTATAAGCTACCTGCCACAAGAGGATTCACGCACGCTACCTGCGTCCGCGTAAAAAATTTCACTGCAAGATAGAGTAAAAATATACGATTGATTCATAAAATACGGGTACGCACATATACGCACTAATTTTAATTAAATACAAGCACAACGATATAAAGAATTTATGCTTGCTGAGATAAAATAACATTAAATTAAAGCTATTTTTATACAGAAAATGAAAAGAGTTGCAACGTCCTCTAATGTTTTTTTCAAAAAATGAAAAATCGAATTAAATAAGAAAGTGTTAAAAAAATTTTAATTAAATCAAAGGTAAAACAAAACCTAATCTAAAAGCTAATATAAGCATTATATTGAACATCAATTTTAAAGGTGCAGAATAATATACACTAGATGTATTTTTGCTTTAAGAGATCTTATGATTCTTTTATTTAGATTTGTTCATCTATTGTGAACTATATAAAAAATGAATCACACTGACACTGACCGGCTCCTGGTGGCATAGATGCGAGCACTCTCGAGATATTGGAGTTTTGCAGGAAAAAGATCGCAATCTGCACGACAGTGCCGAAGGACGTGGATAGCGCTGCACGTAGTATACCACATAGTAGCATCGCGTCAAGCGCGCTCCGCTATACTGATTCGACGATTATGGGGTGTTCCACATGGATGGGTGAAAAGTGTCAGAGTAGGGTAGAGACTGCGCAGAAGCTGCGTGGGTGGAGGTAGCAATACGTAATGACAGGTGAATGAAATGAAAAAAAAAGATATTTTTCGAGTTATTTTTAAAATATTTCTATTTTTACCAATTACTTTTACGTGCAATGTATATTCTCTGTGAAATATCAGTTTATTCTTGAATTTGATCTATACCTGCACCTCTTTTACCTGCTGATGTTATACGCAAATACGCATCAATGACCACAGAGCGTTCCGTATTTTACGTTCAATAAATTACCTTCAGTAGTATGTCGACAAGAGTAAATTTTAATCGATCTCATTTTATATGCATATTTTAAAATTATAAGCATTTTGAAGGACTGCGTGATTATAGTTTGTTATGTGTTAAATTTTGTTATGTAATTAAAGTGGCTTTTAGTATCTTGAAGAACGGCAATAAAATCATAAAACAACTTAATATTGTAACTAAACTTGCTTCAAACTATATGGAGACGATATATTAACACAAAAAAGCAATTGTGTTAATTTTAGGAAAAAGATTATATTTTTATTTGTGACTTGAAACAAATAATTCCCGCTTATAATATTTTTAACATATCCATAGTTAAAAGAAACAATTATATAATATAAAATCTTATAAAACTAAATGTATAGATTTTGTGTATATATAGTGCATATATTGTGTATACACATAGGATTTGAAATTGCATATTAACTTCTATGTTCTAGCACGGATATTTTGAACAGATGTCATATTATTATTACTCATTATATTTGCATGCTTTTGAATAGGTTCGATGGAATTAATTGCCTCATTAATTGCAGCAACGACTTTCTCATTGTCCATTATTGTCATGTGAGTGCCTTCAACATAGTGTATTTCTATCTTTCCTTTAGTAATCTGCAAGTAACTTTATATTAATTACAACTGTTCTGTTGTATAAATTATTTTTTTGTTTACTTTAATTACCTTGTGCAGGCCATAGTCTTCTTGAGGAAAAAGTAATGAATATGTCGTGGGCTTCAGAAGTATTATAGGTGATTCGATCTTCGGTACTTGTGTCACATCGTATTCATGTAGACCGATCAAATGCTTATACATTGTTGTGCACAAGGCTTTTCTTTTGTCAATCGTTACTTGTGAATAAGCCGAAGAAGCATGTTTCAAAAAAATTTCTAATTTTTCGTCCCAATTAGTATTAGTACATTTGTTTAACTCCAATAGAAACTAAAAAGATTAGATCTATGATTTTTGCGAAAAATCTATCATTTAAGACCATCATCTACGATTATATACCTTTCCACTAACTGTTGGTTGAAACAAATCCATTATACCCAAAAGAATATTATTCTGGAATTCATCTAACGTAGTGAAAGGACAATTTGCATTAGCTATTGCCTTCATATGCTCGGGTGCTCCATCGATGAGTATCAATCGGCCTTTGAGATTCATTTCTTCTAACTTCCGTGCTAATTCAATTGCAATTATCGATCCATACGAATAACCGACTAGTACAAAATTTTGTGGCAATTTTTGTTCTCTGCACAAAATGTGCTGAAACACATAAAAAACAATAAAGTTTAAAAAAAGCTTAACATAGAAAGAAATGGGATTAAAAATATCTTGAACTGCTATGTTATTGTCATTGTATTCTGGTATGAAATATTTTATTGTATCACAGTATGTTTCCTCCTTTCTATATTATAAAGTCCACTTGTTAATTATGTGAAGAATTTACCTGTAACAGGCTATTAGTGATATCTTTTATTGATGTTAAGTCTGTGCCGATGTTATGCGTGTTGTATTGCAGGCACGTTGCTGAACCTTCGATTTTTGGCACCAGCAAATCAAAGACGCTTCCACAACCCTCTATACCTGGCAATAGGAATATTTCGCTTTCCGTCGTGCTTTCTTTCGTCGGAAGCTTTATACAAACATCGGGTATCAATTGATCTTCGCCTGATATGCGAATGAGCAATTTCATTCCTGTTATCTCGGTGAGTTCCTCGTTCTTCACATCTTTTTCGAACATTTTGGCGAGCTTAGCGAAATTGAGATTGCGAATATCTTGCGCGGTAAGGAAAATCTCATATTCCCGTTCCAAGGTCTGTTTGATTTCCACAGCCATCATCGAGTCCATTCCAAGCTCGGAGAAAGGCATGTGATGAGCCACGGTGCTCATGTCCTTCAGATCTATATTTAATTAATTTTTTGTAGTTAGTTTATTTAATTATTTAGTTTATATTAAATATTTTAATCACGTTTCATTAAACACATTCATCTTTTTATCTGAATAAATTTATACAAATTGATTAATTAAATTATCTAATTTTTTAAATGTTAATAACTTACTCATAATATTGGCCACAGTTTCGACAATACTGGATGCGCCAAAAGTGTTCAGCCGCTTTTCGGCTACAACCATGCTCGCCACTATAGGCTGTTTTTGTAACAAAAAGTCCTCGAGTTTCGCGATGCAGGAAGTTATCTTTTGCTGCAAAGTGCCGCCGATAACCATTTCTTTGTCGTTGTCTTGCATATCAGCCACGAGGCCGACATCGCCGACCGCACCCCATTGAACTGCTAGTCCGTGCAGACCCTCTTGCACTCTTCTCTCGCAAATTCTCTCCATGATGGAATTTGCCATGCCGTAATTGGTCTGTCCGGCATTTCCTCTTCCGCAAGATACCGAAGAGAACACAACAAAGTGACGAAGCTGAGGACATATTTTTCTGGTCAAATGATCCAAGTTTTTCGTGGCCCAAGCTTTCGCTTTGAAGGGCTCCTGGAACGTCTCTACAGTTTGATTCGGACAAATTTTATCATTCAATACCACAGCCAGGTTGAATATAGCGTCCACCGGCGCCATTTTTTCCGCCGATTTCAGCATATATTCGCAATCTTTGACGTCCGATACGTCGACGTCCGATATGATTAGAACTTTCACTCCGTAAGATTTCCACAGACTGATTTTCATCTGCTGATATCCGTTTTTTACGCCGGCGCGCGAAATGAACACCAGGTTCTGAGCGCCACGAACAACCAGCCAGTCGGCTAATTCTAAGCCGAAGCCACCCAAGCCGCCCAAGATGATGTACGATTTGTTCGATAGACAATAATAACGTGGAAGTGCAAGAATGGGTGCGCTCATAGATTCACCTTCTTCGTGTATTTTTATGATTATCTAAAAGTACGTTAACTCAGTTTTTATTTGATGTATTATGTTTTATTTTTCATTGATCTCGCGTAATAAGTTACAATTAATTCCAGCGAAATTTACCTACCTTTCCTATATGCTTTCCAGCTGCCATGTATCTGAATGCAGCCTCCACTTCATCCTTTTCAAAAATCTTCCTGGCAATCGGTTGAATAGCTTTATTCTCAAGATGTGCGACCACTACCCTGTTTAAATGTGCTTTTGGTTCCTCTGGAGCTGTGAATATCTTATCCAACATAACGCTGTAAAATTTAATCCCTTTAGAAAGCATCGACAGGTTCAACAAATTATTGGCCATAAAATCGAATTTGCCGATTTCCAGAAAACGCCCGCCCTTCGCGAGGCAACGGATGGACGTCTGGAGTTTTTCTTCGGCGAGCGAGTTCAATACAATGTCCACGCCACGGCCGTTGGTCTGACTAAGTATCATTTGCTCAAAACTGTTGTCGCGCGAATTTCCAATGTGATTCTCTGGGATGAACGGGAACGTGTCTCTGATAAATTTTCGCTTTTCCGGAGTGCCAACGGTGGTGAATATCTCGCAACCTTTGTGATGCGCAAGATGAATCGCAGCTTGTCCCACAGCACCGGTACCGGAGTGGATCAGTACCGTCTCGCCTTTTTTCATATTTGCTTTGACGATTAATCCGTAACAGCACGTGCTGTAAGCGCACGGAACCGTGGCAGCGTCCTCCATGCTCCACTCGTCAGGAACGTTCCAGGATAAGTATTTGGAGAATGTGCACATATTTGATATGCATCTGTGAAATAAAGAATTAAAATATTTTTTTATCTAATAAGAAAACCAGATTACTTAGAATAAAGTTAACTTGTAGATTTTACAATAAATACAATAATACTGTTTATAAAAAATTTATGCATTTCAATAAAATAATTTTGCGTTTTCCTTGGCTTTACAAAATATTGCAAGTTGCGTTATAAAGTCTGCAACATTTGAGATAGAAATCTTTTTAAATAAATAATATTTTAATTATTTTTTATTTTTTTATCACACATGCACAATATATACACACACAATATATCAACATATCCAATAGAAAAGCTTGCTTTAAAAAGCGTCAATTTTTTTTATAAACCGTATACTTTTAAATAATTACGTGACAGTAATGTACCTGTTTTCCCAAATTCCCATTACTCTCTGTCCAGTATTATCGACGCCGACATATTCCATACCCACCATACAATCCTCGAGTCGTCCACGCATTAAAAAGAAACTATCTCGTGCAAGTTTGCCGGACGCTATCATTACATCTTTGAAATTGAGAGACGAGTAAGCTATGTGAACGAGATTATTCTCCTTATAATCTGGTGTAATCGGGCCTTCCATCCAGCGAAATGAACTCAAATCACCGCTCACCTAATTGAGAAATATCTTTTATTATGACAGAACTGTAAGATCAACTTTTTAACCGAAACCTCGGTTTTATATATTTATTTATGAAACATTTATACCAGTTGATTGGCTAATGCGTGGTACACGAGCTTTGGTGTCAGTGGCGCTAACGGAAGATGTCTGTATGAACCCCATGTTTTACCCGGACGCAAGACATTTATGATAAGATCGATCCGGAGTTGCTCCGCGTATAATGGATCGTGCAAAGAAAACTCCGGTGCAGTTTCGTCTTGAATAAATACTCCTCTGATCGATTCGCCGCCTGGTTCTCTTCTCAAGCAATTGACGAGGCCCAACAAGCCGCATTCCGAATCTTTCTCGCTGACTAAAATTATTTTTCCAGCGTTTCTTGACTCGTTCTCCGCGTTCAAGATCGATTTAAGCTGCTCCAACCAAGAGAACTCGTAATTGTTCACGTGAATAACTTTAGTTTTTTTCGTCGACTGTTCTCTCTTCTTTAACAGTATAATGTGCTCTTTCTGCGTGCGTTTCTCAAGTACTACTGCTAAATCGTACTTTTCGGCAGTCGCAATGTCGTCTTTCGTGAAGGACTGTTCTCGTGTCAATAAGAATCCATTGTTTTGTAACGCCGGCAAAATTTCTTTTAAGGTCTTGCTCTTGTTGTTTGTAAACAAATTGTATCCTGTTATTAATATCGCATTATCGTCAGTCGACAACTTTTTTGATTGCGAGACTGTGATTTTCGAAGGAAGAGTAACGCAATCGAAGCGATCGGTTCTGGTCACCAGAGTAATGTTTGGTTGAAGCAACGGTAGATCACCCAAGATATCGATAAACAATGGGGATGCTATTTCATCTGTTTCTACTTTGTCATCATCTTCGATCAATTCGATAATATTCACTTTTATCACTTGATGATACTCCAGAGCGAGATGCGTCGACAGCATCACGGCTTCCTGCAAGAAACCTCGGCTCCATCACGATGAGCTATGAATCTGTACTCTTCGATAACGGGCTCCCCCGCTGGCTTTCGACGAAATATGGAAGTAGCTGTGATTCCGCGAATTTCTACACCGCCGGATACTACCGCGTCGCAGGTTTTGTACACACGCACAGGAAGCTCTAGAAAGATATTTATAAATATTGTATTTTTTTATACTTAAACTTCTTTTACGTTAAACAAATTTCTTTATTTGAAAATTAGTTACAATATTTAAAGATACATTAAAAAATTAATATTAAAAAGCTGATAGAAAGAAAATAAGTCGACAAACTTACGATAATCGTTAGCTGCTGCGTTCCGTATTTGCTGTATGTGAAATTTCGTATCGATCACCAACTTTTGTATTCCCGTGGGAACGTGAAGACTCCTCGTGTCTATCCCGAGGATTTTCATTTGCAGCATATTATCCATAAATGTTACCCAATTGTACATCCAAGCTATGTGCCCTTGTTTTCCCGTAGTCGACGAACTCTTCAAACCTCGAAACATGCCGGCGTATTGATATCCTCGTAATCTGAGTTCTTTGTAGATATCTTTTGTTTTCATTACTTCCTCCTCATTGTCGTTCTCTTGATTTAACAGATGACTCGGTAACTTTTCTTCGGCAATATTTGTCGGTTCACGCACAGTGCCAGTGACGACGGCATTATTTCCTTCCATGACTTCAAACTTTCCGGTTGCTGCAATAAATAATCTTGAATATTTCTTTTTATCGCATAAATTGAGTATTGTCATTCTCAATGCGACAAATAGAGTAGCTTATTGAAAAATACATTTTTAAAATAAAATCTACCTTTCTGCACCATTATTGTTAGATACACGGGTCCTTGTTTCGGAAAGTGCGTTGCCCGAATGAACTTGACATTCTCAAACACGATCGGCATATCGCTATACGATAGACTTTTCAGCATACCCATCGTCTGCCAAACTAGCATGAGATATCCAGTAGCTGGCAATAACTGTTTTCCGTCAATCACATGACCGCTCATATATTCGTAATCTTCGTCATTTTGCACAACTTCAACCATCCTTACTCCGGTAGAGAGTTTCGTCTGCATTTTATGGCTTGTTACGTACCAGTTCTCGGAATGGTCCCATCTGGGAATAAAAATAAATATTTCTTACTTTAAAAATGATTTTGTATTCTTTTATGTTTAACAAATGAATAATGTGTTCGACATACTTGATTGACGGCGAGATCATCGGCGTGGAACGACTAACAGGAAATTTCACGGTTGGATATAGATTTGCTAATTGCGGTTGCAAGCCATTGTTGTACATTTTTCCTAGACCTTGGAAAAATACTTTGACATTGTCCTCGTGATTACGCTGAAGTAACGTGATACTGGTTGTGTCGAACAGTTCTTTCGTAACACTCTGAAGAATAGCATCCGGCGCGATTTCAAGAGTCACTGCGTTTCTAGGAATTAACTGCGCGGTTTTATCGAAAAATACAGGACTCAATAGATTATTCGTGAAATATTCAGCGCAGGACAATTTTGCGTTGCAAATAAACTTTGCCATATGTGATTGGGAGTCATTTTTTGCGGTATTATTTGATTTAAGTAAGCCAGAATCGTTGCTCTCGCGGGGAGGAGATAACGAGTATGCAGAGGATTTTCGCAGCAGTTGACTTCCTCAGTAAATACATTATTGGCCTGCAAAATTATTTAAGAAGTATAATTTGTTTAAGTTTATTACACGTATATTTAATAAAATATTTAAATGAAAAATTAATGTACCTCTAATTGTTTTGTGAACGCTTTTACTGACTTTTTTAGACCGCTTACGGAGCAAGTATTTTGACTGTTTCTGTAGATAACTTCGATATCCGTTGGACATATGTTCTTCACATTCTCATAACTGAGACCGATATTCACCATCGCGAAGTTAATTTTTTTTATTTTCTTCAATTCCAGTCCTATGTAATACGAGGATAAAATCACTTGTTCAAGGGTGAAATTACCGGTCGCATACGCGCAGCAGAGTTCACCAATTGAGTGACCAACGACATAATCTGGCACGATATTTACGGATTTTAAGAGATCGATTAATCCTACCTAAAAAAGAATAAAATATTATTTTTATAATTATCAAGAAACATTTACAGAAATTGCGCGCATATAATTTGTAAAAGCAATTTATCACCTGCATTACGGTGATGCCCACAAGTGAATTCAATATATCGTTAAAAATATCTTTATTTTTACTCGTTAATATGTCAATGATATACATTCTATGCATTTTTAAAATCATATCGCATTTTTCTATGGTTTTGGAAAATACTGGGAATCGCAGTAGCGCTTGACCTGTTAACATGTAAATTCGAGTTTAATTGCAAGCAATCACTTCTCTAACATATACAAAAAAGGATGCGTACCCATGCTAATCCATTGCGATCCAATTCCGGAGAACACAAAACAAATCGGTTTTTTCTCACCTGAATAATATTGTATTTCTTTTGCCGCTTTGATCGGCGTTTTAGATTCGACAATCACGTATCCTCTGTAAGGATGATTTTTCATTTCATCAGCGTAAATATCATGCAATAGCCGTATATATTCGACGTCTATCGGCCGGTTCTCGATCTAACATATAAATTTTTGCGGTGTAAATGTGCTCTTATTGACTGTGTAATCACAAAATTTTTATATACCTCATTTAGAAATGATTCAACTGCTTGTTCGGTACGTCCAGACAGGACAACGAGTCTGGGCAGATTATCATTCGGTGCTCCTTTATTGATCTTTTCCTTTGTGTTACTTCGCATCAAGATGTGGCAATTGGCTCCACCAAAACCGAACGAATTGATACCCATAAATCCAGAAGTCCACGGTGTTGTGTTGGTCACCACGCGTATACTTCCATCTTCAAAAGCCTTAACACCTTTCCGTATTTGTGTGAAGTTTATATTTGGCGGGATTAAGCCAGTTTCCATTGCAATTATCACCTTACGAAAAGTTAATTAAATGCTAACTTGTTGCTTCTTATTTTTTATTAAATTATTTATTAATTGATAAATGTTTTTTATCTTTTATCATGATACTGTTAATGATTTAGCAGCGAAAGGAATGTTATACAAGTTTTTGTTTGTAGAGTGTAAAAATTTCATTAATTTACGATCATTAAAGTCGACGGCTATTATTATACGTATCATAATTATTATTACCTTAGCAATTTGACACATGCTACTAGCAGCTTCAGAATGGCCCAAGTTTGACTTGATAGAGCCGATTAATAGAGGAGTTTGTCTGTTCTTGCAGAAAACCTGCTCGAGTGCATTGATTTCTTCTGGATCGCCAACATAGGTGCCAGTGCCGTGAGCCTCCATGTAGCCTAAGCAAGTCGGCGAAATACCGCATTCATTGTAAAACTCTTCAAGTAAGGTTTGTTGCATTTTGCTCGACGGGAAGGTAATGCCTTGTTCCTTGTATCCATCGCAATTAGTTTTCCCGTGGACGACGGTTGCATAAATTCTCTTAGCCACCTTTGCTTTTTGTAAAAATGCGACTGAGATTGTCTCGCTACGCATGTAACCGTTTGCATCGTTGGTAAAAGGTTTGCAGAATCCGTCAGGTGCTAAAATTCCTGAAATTGTAAAATTATGTTATAAAATTATTTAGATGTATATTTATATATATTCCAACTTATTTAGATTTTAATAATTTTATATTGTTTATTATTTCTTATATTCTAAATTAATATTTCAATAAGTATAATACCGAGTCGCGCAAACTGCAAAGCTAGATAAGGATTCAGGCACAGATTTATACCGCCGACAATAGCGGCGTCACACTCCCCTGACTGAATACTTCTATAAGCGGACTCTAAAGCGAAGAGACTTGAGCTGCAAGCGGAATCGAGTGTCCAAGATGGTCCTGTTATATTTAACCAGTGAGACATTCGATTTGCGTACAGAGGCTTGTAACATCCAAAAGCTGCAGCGCCAGCTATCTAATGTGTGTACATAAGTTATTTAGAAAATTTAAATGTTTATTGTATGAGTATTGTGCGAGGTGATTTACAATCAAGTACATTTTTTATAATATGATATAAAAATATTTTTAATCAAAATTTTAATGCTATAGGCTAGTGCAATATTCTTGCTTGATCAATAAGTAATTTTTCGTACCTGTGCTTTTTCAATAAACCACGTCTTCTCCGACTCCGATGTGCACATTCCGATAAAAATTCCAGTTTTCGTTCCAGATAAAACTTTCGGATTTATTCCCGCGTCAACGATAGCTTCGTACGTATGCTCCATGAGCATCCTACTCAGAGGATCCATGATATGGACTTCGTTGAAGGGTATTTCAAAATAATCTGCATCGAATTTCTCGCAATTGTCAATCATTCCCATACGTTGAGGTAGATCTGGGTGAGCTGTATATGAAAACGTATATAATAAGTGAACAGTTATTTTTGTTCCAACTATGATATATAGAAGTTTAGATGCAAAAGAAATTATAACAATGAATAAGAATTTAAATAGGACAGTAATTTTATATATATGTTTCTATGAAATATTTTTTGTTTAATTTTTTATTTGTATAGAACAAAGAAGATATTACCATGATTCCATCGTCGTTCCTCATCTGTTCCAAGATCCACTTTGTTAAATAGATTCTCTTGAAGCTGTCTAATATTGTCCGATTTAGGAAATCTACCGGCGATGCCAGAAATAACGATGTCATCTTCAGATTCGACATCAACGACCGTGGCTTTTTTATTAGAGTCCATGTCAACTCCAACAACAGTAAATTTTACTTTACTGGTTAACAAAGTCCCAATGTCAGCAAATTTGCAGTTATTTTAAATGATTTTTATTTTACGTTTTTACATTTACACACTCTTTTTTTTTCAGTTTTTAATGATAATATTTAAGTAAGATTCTGAAACTCAACTTACGCGATTGCCTGTGCGACTGGCGTGTCACTAGTTAATAGCTCATCTTTAAACCTGTATTTATATAAGAGATATATGTTAATTATCTAATCACTAGTTATGAAGGAACATTATAAATTTACTATTATAAAAACAATTGATTGATCCGATTAATAATTAATGTCACATAATAATTTTAAATAAAGAGCTATACTGGTTTTATAATAAGTAAATTTTTTTACCGTAAGGAACAATATATCTCATTAAATAAACATTTAAATAATATAATCGCAGTTCAATGCATTTATCCTTTTGAATACAATAAATGCATATATGTTCCGCGAAAACAATCGATGGAGCCGACGAACTCATTAACATTTGACGAAAACAGTCGATGTGGCTGATGTATATACAGGGTGTCCGGTAGTTACTGAATCACTTTTCGGGTGTAGGTAGAGCGGTTTAAACCAAATAGAAAAGTCCTCTATCATTTTGCGATTTTTGCAATAATTAATGCGGAATTAATTTAAAAACATGGCCCAATTCGCGCGAGTTTAAGAGCGCGGCGAGAAGAGACCCGTGACGATACAGCCCACTGTTATTTGGTTACTAGGCGTGCGATAAAGCGTTGGGAGAAGCGCTCTACAAATGACAACGGCAACATACGAAGCGGTCGTGTAAACGCTTAGATCCTTGCGTCCTAGCGACTACGTAACAATGGGTCGTCTCTTCTCGCCGCGCGCTTTAGGCCCGCGCTAAATTGGCCGATCTTCTTTAATTAATTTTTCATTAATTATTGCGAAAATCGCAAAACGATGGAGGACTTTTCTATTCGGTTAAATTCGCTCTACCTGCACCTGAGAGGTGATTCAGCAATTACCGGACACACTGTATATATATGCAAAATAAAATTTAATAAAAAAATGCAGTCTACAGTCAACAGTATTGCATTAACCTTTGGCTAAGGCTAAATAGGACGCAGAGTAATATCGCTGTACACAACTCCGCCGGGAAACACATTTCAACGAGTTTAGCGCGATCCGTGTTTCATTATAGCATTTCTTATATATTTCTTATCGTATCTATGTTAGTTCAAAATAGTATATGATATTGCTGTATCAAGGAGAGAAAATTATTTTGTCGAAAAATATTTTATGTTAATGTTTTATCAAAAATTGGTTTCTTAACTGTAGTGCATCCCTCACAATCGTGAGTAATATTGCTATCAAACATTCTTTTGAGACGAAAATAAAAATAAGTGAAGACATTTTTGCTTTGGAAGAAAAGATATTCAATATTTTCAATGTGAGGTAAAAAGATAGTCATTATAATAATATTTTATTTCAAAAATCGTTTAAAGGAAGGTTGAAAAATTATGAATCATATTGCTGATTTGCAATTG